GCCCTAAACGACAGTTCAATGAGAAGACTGCTGCTGCATGGCAGAAACTAACTTTTTTTAAACCATGACTTGTTGGCACTGTTGATAGAGATGCCTGAATCACCCGCTGATTATTATATAGCACTACTTTTTTTAAATTGTCTAAGAGGCTTCCCAGGTACCCCCTGTGGTGTTCGCTGGCACCCCCATGGGGTACTAGTACCCCCGGTTTGGAACCAGGGGACTAGATCATAGCAGGCCTACTCATCCGCATAATTTACACCCCCATGCTCTCAACTCCCTTTCTTCTCCCGCTTATCCTCTATACCTCCTCTTCCCGTTACGCCCCTCTCCCACTGCCGCACGTTTGCCGCTTCACCCCTTCCGCTCCCGTACCACCCCACCACCCCTTCTGCTCTCGTTGCATCCCTCTCTCGCTCTCTCCCGTTCCACCCCTTCCTCTTTTCTTCCCGCCCCACATCTCTCGCAGTTGATCTCAATGTACACACACGGGCGCGTTCGCAAATTCGTTTCATGTCGGAAAGGTCGCGATGACGATTGTGATTGAACGGACGAGATTACGGCACGAAGTCACGAGCGAAAAACCCAACTATTGTGCGCAACATATTAGTTAATAATATACTTAGTTAAAAATATTAATAATAGTTAATACGTAAAGAGTTAATACCGAATATATTATACCGAATATAGTTTCTACGCGATTTTACTTCGTTTTCCCCCAATGAGAGTAGAACTGACACCGATAGTTTTCGTCGAGTATCTCTGTTTACTCTCCCTCCCCCCTCCCAGCCTCCCTCCCACCCGCACTTTTATCTTCCCTCCCTCCGCCCACCAATCGTTCGGTCGACCCACCTACGTTACAGGTTCAAAGGTACCGCTACAGCGCTCTCGATACGCTACACCGCGGGCGGACCTAGACTGACACCGCACGTCACCGTGGCCGAGCTCACAGGGGCGTTTCCGACGACGTACGGGGTCAGACTATAACGCGGGCCGGGACATAGCGCAGGGGAATCGGTAGTAGGTGCGCGTGCAAAAAAAAGCGGGTCACACACCTCGTAACCTTGTCGGGCGGCCCTGTGCAGTAGCGTCTCGCCGAGGGCCTTATTTACCATCAGCCGCTTCGTCTCGTACGGAACGTGAGCCGCATCCGATCTGCCGCGCTCCGACTTGCAGCAGCCGGCGCCCGCCTCGCTAGGAAAACTACCCGGCAGGATGACGGGCTGAAACGAGACGGTAAAAAACGAATCGGTGAATATACTCCTCGGCTCGCCTCGCCTCTCTTCGGCGCGGCGCGACTAGGCGCGCATGCTGGGTGTGCGTAGCCGGAATGCACGGAGGCATGTACCGCGGACATGCATGCATGCGCGCCCGTGCGCGCGGCAGCGGCAGCGGTGGCAGCGGTGGCGGCGGCAGCGGTGGCAGCGGTGGCGGCGGCAGCGGTGACACGCACCGCCGTTGGGTCGGCGGAATAATAACTACGTCTCAAGGTCGTACGGTAGCGAGCCGTCAATAACGATCATCTCCGCATTAAACCGCAGCGCGCACCCGCGGTTCCGCGAGACGGGATTTTTGGCATGGAAGAGGCGACCGCATATGAAAGGGAGAGAGAGACAAAGAGATAGAGAGAGAGAGAGAGAGAGAGAGAGAGAGAGAGAGAGACGAAGAGAGATAAAGATAGATAGATAGAGAGAGAGAGAGAGACGGAGAGAGTTTAGATAGATAGATAGATCGAGAGAGAGAGAGAGACGGAGAGGGAGAGAGAGACAGAAAGACGGGGAGGGTGAGAGAGAGTGTGTGTGTCGCGGGTGCAATGCATATACCGATACCAGCTGCGGGTCAATGTACCACGATGGTAGGCAGGCGGGCCGGCGGGCGGGCGGGCGGTCGTATACAGTATTACACTTTGTTCGGAAGAGAACGCGTTCACGACAGCGCAACGATATCTGAACAGCATTCGGGCTTGTGACCTTTTTAACCAGAAGTTTAGCAAGAGTTTCTAGAACTTAAAAGTCCAGTTAGCACGAACGCAAGACTTTCTTCCCATATTACGTATTATCCCATTAACGCTTGGCGAACTAAATTCAACGAAGTGAATTTTACTGCCTCCCGCTCCCCCCAGAGAAGGGTAGATGTGAGCCAATTTTTAAGTACTATCTATGGGATCAAATAACTTCCCAGGAATTTCCTGGTCCACAGCCTATTTTCCGGGACTTTTCAGATGCAATTTTAAATTCCAGGACTTTCCCGGTTCTCCGGGACCCGTACGAACCCCCTACGCTAGCAGGCGTAGTTACGCACCTCCAAGGACGGAAGTTCGTCGTCGCTATCGACGTCGTCGACGTCCCTGTCGTTGCTGTCGGAGCCCTGGTCGCGCTGCGGCTCCGTGCGCACGAGCGTCGGCATGCTGAGCGGCTCGTCGCCGTCCTCCGGCAGCTTCGCGTCGCGGCCGACACGACGTCGCCGCCACGAGCCGGCGGCGATGCCGCGTAGAAACCGCTGCTGATTACGACTGCGTCGCCGCGCCGCCGCCGCCGCCGCCGCGTTCAGCTTGACGCGAACGACGGCGCGACGCGGCCCGCTGTCGCCTCCGCCCGCCGACGCTTCGCTGCAGTACTCGTACACGTCCGTCTCCTCGCCGTCGTCGTCGTCGCCGCCTGAGGTGCGTCGTCGGCCGTCGGCGGACGGACGTCGCTTGCTGAGGAGCCGGCGCGGCGCTGCGCCGAGTCTCACGGAGAGGCGACTCCCGGGCACAGCTCTCCTCCGAGCTTTCGACGCGCATTTCCGAGAAGAATGGTCTGTGGCGAGAGATACGCAGAGCGATGAAGAAAAATCCGCGAGCTGAACGTATAAGCTGAGCGTGAACGTATATAAGTATGAGCTGAGCGTTAAGAGAATTGCTTAACGAGGCGGGCTATTTAATTCGCGCAACAAAAACGCGAATACTAGGCCGGCTGTAATACTATTAGCGCGCTTAATATAAGCCGGACATTTTCCGCGTGCGATTAAAACCGAACCGATCAGAAATCGTTCGCGCCGTTGTTATACGCGGCGCGCGACTATAAACGCAAATTTCATAGAACAAACCTATATAACGACTTTTACCGTGAGAATGTTTCCATGCTCTCCCCAACCCTATATACTCAGCTCCGTGCGACGGCATTGCACCAGATTTCCAGCACAACCCGAAGATATACCGCTGCCTATACAGTATATACAGAGTACGTAGCGACGTTTAGCGGTCGAAGAAAAACGTGGCAGTTGCCGAAAGTGAGCGCATATATTTATCGAATTTACTACCGAAAGTTACGACCAGCGAAAATCGACGGCACCGACTCATGACGCCCCCGTTCCGTATACAGCCACGAAAACATCCCGGGCGGGCTACGCTAAATAAATAATTTATGCCTTGCGTAACACATTATATATATATATATATATATCGCTAACGACGTTGTAGTTATACTATCTTATCTTATATATACACATACACATAGGTTCGGATTTATGCATATATATATATTTATATATGTTGTAATGTATATAATAATATATATATATATATTATAGTATATAATATACTATAATATATTAGGGCGGCTAGTATATATATATAGGCCCGACGGACCGTACTCGTAACGGGAAATGTTTTCATGCCCGAGCGAAAACGAACTCGACGTTTTAAGGCGCAAAAATTGCATTTACCGCGAGAGTGAACCGCGCATTTAAATCAACCGGACATAACGAACTCCGGCTCGTCCTCTTCCATGCCGACTCATTAACAATTTCAACATAAGCAAGACAGGACAATGCAGGACGCGCGGCTTCCTGCGAACACACACAGGCAGCACGCACGCACCAAGCGCACGCAACACGCCGCACACACACGCACGCACACACACAGCGGCACACGATGGACGGCGGGTAATGAAAATCATTGCTTGGAGGGAACGCACGTCGCGGTCGACCCGAGCCGCGCGCGTCGAAGTAAAGCGCCTCGCCGCGTGCCCCTGACCCGAAAGGATGTCGATTCCGCGGGCCGCGTTGCCTTCGCATTGGGGACGTGCTGGTCGCCTCAACAGACACGCTACGCACGCACACAGCCAGGACACCACACGCCTGCACGCACATCGCGCGCACGGCATCACACGCACCACCTCCGACGCACGCACGCACACATCTATCTGCTCGCTCGCCGGGTGACATGCGATATGGATATAGCATCCGTGTTTTGCTCCGTACCTTCCAATAAGGAACTCATCCTAATTCTTCATACAGGACATATATACAGGAAGGAAACCATCATATCTCCCTCTCCAGGAGATATACATGAAAGAATCCATTCCAAGTCTCCCTGCAACTACTCACGTGGGGGGAAATGTTACGAGCTAGAACACACCATTCACCAATTCGCCATTCTATTTCCCAAATTCCATCCCGATGAGAAGCACACGAAATGAGTCCAGCATCCGGATGAGGTTCCATACCGGTGAGAAAAGCTACTACGATCGGAGAAATGCTAATACTCCGCTAAATCTAATACTCCGCTAAATCTAATACTCTAATACTCCGCTAAATCTAACACTCTAATACTCCGCTAAATCTAATACTCTAATACTCCGCTAAATCTAACACCTCTAATCACTCCGCTAAATCTAATACTCTAATACTCCGCTAAATCTAATACTCTAATACTCCGCTAAATCTAATACTCTAATACTCCGCTAAATCTAATACTCTAATACTCCGCTAAATCTAATACCTAATACTCCGCTAAATCTAATACTCTATACTCCGCTAAATCTAATACTCTAATACTTCGCTAATCACACTCTAATACTACTAATACTCCGCTAAATCTAATACTCTATACTCCCGCTAAATCTAATACTCTAATACTCCGTTAAATCTAATACTCTAATACTCCGCTAAATTCCTAAACAACTTTTTTAAAAAGATTACTTTTCCGCTAAATCTAACAACATTCCTAATACTTCGCTAAATCTAACACTCGAATACTCCGCTGGCGAAAACCAACAGTAAAGAATCGCGCTGCGCATGCGCAGGCAAGACCCCCGTCACACGCACGCCACACGCGGTCGAAAACGATGACATATCTTGTCACGAATAGCAGGATCAGCGGGAGGAGAATAAATCAGAGCTTATCGAGAGGCGCGCGTACGATGCGGCGCGGTCCGCGAACGGCTTACGGCCCGTTCCCCCCGCGCGCTACTCCCTCCCTCACCCTCCCCCTCCCCCTCCCCCCGCCAACCGATAATCGATGCTGCCCGCGTTCGGCATCACACGTGCGTGGGCCGCGGCCGTATTTTGCCACGCTCAGATCGGGGCTCCGCGCGCTGCCGACTGTTCGTGCACGCAGCAGTTACGGCGAAGCTGAGGCGGCTTGCTTTGCGTGACTACGCCGGCACGACTGCTGGCAGCTGTTAGTATAATGGTATAATCTTTCTCGGCGAGTCGTAATATTTAGGAATGCGTTTCGTACCGTCGCTCGGTTAGTTTACACCCGACTCGAAGTGTGCGCGCATACACACACGCTCGCACGCAAATACACACGCGCGCTCACGCACACACACATATTCACGCGCACGCGCGCGCACGCACGCACGCATGCACGCACGCGCACTCACACACACGCGCGCAAGCGCACACACACGCACGCACGCACACACACACACTCACTGGCGCTGCTGCTCCAAGTCGCAAACAATACGCACGCCGAGGCGCGCCGAGTGAGATATTTGGTTTTCGCATTAACGCGAGGGGTGGTTGTGTGTGCAGACGAACGGCGCGCCCGCCATCATACTCTGTAGCAGCCGTAGTTACACGTACCTGTCGTGGCGGCTCCGCGGGACACGTGCAGCCGTGCTCCGCCCCGGGGTCGGTCGCCGGCGCCCCCCGGCAGTAGCAGATGACCCTCCGCTTCCCGCCGCAGCACGTCAGTCTATACAAGAAGCGAAGCAGCAGCGAATTAGCAAATTATCGCACGCGAAGCAAAGATGCACGGTGTGCGAGTCACGTCCGTCATCACGCGCACGCACGCACGATCGCACACATGCATACACCACACGCACGCGCGTGCGTACACACCACAAAAACACACGCAGACGCGTGCACCGATCCACTAACACACGCACGCGTGCACGTACACTCACGCGCGCACCGATCCACTAACACACGCACGCGTGCACGTACACTCACGCGCGCACCGATCCACTAACACACGCACGCGTGTACGTACACTCACGCGCGCACGCGCACGTATACATCGGAGATGTGAGATGAAATCGATCGCGCTGGTCGCCCTGTGAAATACGCGTGCGTGCGTGCATGCGTGCGTGCGTGCATGTGTGCGTGCGTGTTAGGGGGAAAGCCTCCTTCTCGCCTTCCCCTCCACACCAACATGGGTTTCCGCCGAGTGTGACGGCGCGGTGACGGCACGTGGCTATTTACGCTGAAATTTGTTCTATGCGTCATTCGGCGTTTGCGCGTAATTCGATAACGTCTCTCGCGAATATTATCTGCTAAGCTCGCGGAAAAATGCAATATTTACAGTCACGATGCACGTAGTATCAGGAAAGGAAGGTCTGTTAGCCACCCACCCACCTGCCTGCCCGCCTCCCTGCCTGCCCGCCTACCCGCGTCCCTGCTCTTGCCCGCCTGCCTGCCTGCCTGCGCACGTCGCCTGCACCGCCGCGTCCGTCCGCTTACCTGCCTGCCTGGCCTGCCTGCCTGCCTGCCCGCCCGTCCGTCTGCCCGCCCGCCTTCCTGCCTGGCGCCGCCCCGCGCCGCCCCGCCCGCCCGCCCGCCGCCCGGTCGTCCGTCGCCTTCCCGCCTGCCTGCCTTCCCGCCTAGCTAGGGTCCCTATATACAGACTATACACTATACTATATTATACCTCTGTATATAGGGACCCTACGCCTAGCTTGCCCGTCCGCGTGCTCGCTCGTCGCGCCTCCGCTCGTTCACCCGTGCGCGCGGGGTTGTTTGCGCTATCGCTGTAGGCTACTACTGTACGTGTAGGTGTAGGTGTCTGTGTGTGTGTATCGCCGCGGCGCGGATACTCCCTGTCCATACGCCCATCCTCGTTACGGATTCTTCACGCTAATACGGGTGCGTGATGATTCATCGTGTGGAAGCGAGAGTGAGAGAGAACGAGAAAGAACGAGAGAGAGAGAACAAGAGAGAACGAGAGAAAGAGAGAGAGAGCGCGAGAAAGAGAAAGAGAGCGAGAGGAGAGAGGAGAGAGAGAGAGAGAGAGAGAGAGAGAGAGAGAGAGAGAGAGAGAGCGCGAGAGAGAGAGAGAGAGCGAAAAAGAGAGAGAGAGAGAAAGAGAGAGAAAGAGCGCGCGCGCGCGAGAAAGAGAGAGCGAGAGAGAGAGAGAGAGAGAGAGAGAGA